ATATATATATATATATATATATATATATATATATATATATATATATATATATATATATTCTTTTCCTATATGCATACAATCCTTGGACCAATCCGATTATTAACTCATTATGGTTAACTCCACTTTTCCATCACCATTCAACTGCTACTTATCAAAAAATATTATGCAACAAAAACCAACGTACATTGTTGTACTTTAAAGAAGAAGAAACGAAAAGAAAACCATTCATTACGAAATTCTCATATGAATTATAAATGTAAGTTTTTATGATAACGACCATTATGAAAATGAGAATGATATTAGAATATTCAATTCATGTCGTTGGCCTATAAACACCTTCAAAATATTCAGCTTTTTGATCGAATCAATCAAATATTTCCACCATTGCAATGAGCTTTATTTTCACTGCATGTTTGGTGATTAACTCAAAATTGTGGTTTTTGTACTGACTGTTTGAAATGATTAGCAGCAGTGAATCTCATTTAGATAAAGTAAACAAACAAAAAAGCTGCTTTGCAATTATGAACATGGTTGCGTCGAATGAAATTGGAGGATGAGAATCTTAGCTGGAGTGGATGAATGATGAAAGATCTTCGTATAATATATTACCAGTAATGAATTTAAAGAAATCAGAATTTAACTGAAATTATTTCTTATCTCCAAAGTGTTGACTGTCTTTGAAGGTTATGCGAACGATCAGATTTTTTTGGTGGCGGGGGGGGGGAGGGGGAAAAACCTCATCGAACCTCAACGCATGTTGATTACCGCTTCTGTGCCTTGACCAACAATCACAACTACTCCCAAAGGGCTCTTTATTGACTAATACCAAACATGTTTCACTATTAAGAAGCATCGTTTCAGTGGAAAATTAAGCAATGCACTCAAAATACATTCTTCATTCATTCTGTTTCGTCTAAATCCGTTTTTTTCATGGAAAATTTATGCCAATCTATGAACATAAACGTTGCAAAAGATTTTATGAACATATATTAATCAACAAACTCGATTGTCCGGTATTTGTATTGAGATTGAGGGATTGACTATTGAGTGATTGCATTTTAGCATCAACTGAGCGAGCTTTTACAAATGAACTATTACTTACAAGTAATGAAATCCATGAAAAAAAGCCCACTGAATTGAATAATTTGCTTATTCATCCATCCATTTAGGAGTAGTAAATTGTGCTGTTTATATACCTTATGTATGCACTAGATCAATTATGCATCATATATTTAGGCAAGTATAGAATGATTTGTAATCAAATACGCCTATGATTGGACGTTTGCATTGCAGAAGGCGGTTCAAAAACTCAATGAATTCAGGATGAAGGTGTGGGCACGCCTTCTGAGGATATTCACTCAGCTATTTACTTGGTTGTTGTATGCCCTTTGAAGTCAACCAACGTGTTTCAAGTATGAACAATGTTTATTCGTTGTTTACTTGATCAGAAACATTACCTTTTTATTATTATTGTTAACGTTATCAATCAATCAATCATACATTCAAACCTGGAGGATTGAGATCTTTTCAAGTTGAATGAAGAGAGTGTTTGGATTTGAGTGATCACTTGAGTGTTGTTTCGTGCTTGGGGACGAATATTTGGAAATGATGTGGCGACGTCGATGCTGATGCTGATGCAGCACATTATCACAAAATTTGATAGATTCATATCTACACTAAATCGCCGCGTTTGCTTGAGCTCATTGCATACTATGATTTCAACTTAAATGATTCGTCGCTGTGGTGATTGACAGCAATGATGACCAAATTAAAAAGCAGAAAGAACCGAAACTGCTCGAGTATTTGGTTTGAGCATATTGAATATACATATATGCGCTTTGTCATGAGCAGCAGAAAATGCTATGATGATTCTGATTTTCGCGACATCCAAGAGGAGCAGATAAGATGTCGTTTATATATCCACAACGCACATTCATTAAATAACTGTACCAAAAATACGCATCAATCAGCATCACGCCCATACAAATCACCACCATCACTAGCAATATGTTGAAGAAAGAAGAAAAAGCAGTGCACTATAATTTTATGCTCCATTAAATTGTCTCGCGTATTTATTCATTCATATATCTATCCATATACATCTCGTTGATTCTTCACTTTCCATTTATCTTTATATATATATATA